AATTAGAACAACCGGAACGCTCCTTGGAAGTGAAGATACTGACACTTCATTTCAAGTACTTGGTTATCAGGACAGACCGGTCATTAAAGATGGACTTCATACTTGATGAAGTGGAGGGTTGGCAACAGAACGAAAGCCCCTCAGTTACATAAACTGGCACAGTGGCTACAACAATGAGCTGTAACAGCAAACACTGTGAGGATGGTGTAGGACTGGGGAGTGTTTCATTCCATTGTTTGTAGGTTCACTATGTTCTTGTTGTTATGTGCCATCAAGTCTAGTAAGACTCACAGCTACCCTATGAATCGATCTGAACCCTGTGCTAGCCTGTGCCGTCCTCATCGTCTCTGACACACTTGAGCTCATTGCTGCAGCCACTGTGTCTATTCATTTCATTGGAGGTCTTCCTCTCTTTTGCTGACTCTCCACATTTCTGGGCATAATGTCGCTCTCCAAGGAAGAACCTCTCCTAGCACAGTGTGGGAGAAGAAGTTTTGCCATCGTCACCTCCAAGGAGCACTCTGACTGCACTTTCTTCCAAGTCATATATATTGGTTGTCCATGTCATATTCAGTACCCTTATCCAACATCACAATTCAAAGGCAATAATTCTTCTATCACCCTTATTTACAGTCTTGCTCTCAGATGCATAGTAAATGATTGAAATGACCTTGGCCTGAATCAGGTGCACTTTAGTCTTCAAAATGACACCATTGCTCTTCAGAATTTTGCAGAGATCCCTGACCACACACTTTCCCAATGCAGTATGTCTCCTGATCCCCTGATAGGTGGTACTAAGGGTGCTGATTGTGGTTCCAAGCAATGAAATCACTGACAACTGCCAAAAAGATGCATCATCAGTATACACACTTTCAAGTTTTAAACCTTAAGCCCTTGCTTTGTTTGGACAACATCTTTTTTTTGTTTCTTATGAGGACAATTAAGTGTTCTGGGATTCCCATTCTTCTCAACGCTAATCATACTTTGTTATGGTTCATACAGTCAAATGTATTTGTATAGTCAATAAAACACAGATAGACATTCTTCTGGTATTCTCTGCTTTCAGCCAGGATCCATCTGACATCGGCAATACTTCTGGTGCCATGGTCTCTTCTAAACCCAGCTAGAACTTCTGGCAGTTCCTTGTCCAAACACTGTTCTAGCAGGTTTTGGGTGATCTTCAGTAATATTTTGCCACATATGGTAGTAGTGATATTGTTTAATA